TGCCTTGCATACCGGAACGGCGTTGCAGACCCTGCCAAGTATCTGCAACTAGGTGATCATAATCATTATGGGTCTGCCACACGTTTTCATATCTAAACTGCTTCTTAGCCCGTGGCCTGAGAGCTTATGTTTCTTTTATTTCCGCCACAACAAAACAATGGCCAAACTCCACCGATGAGAGATGCCTTACTCTTATATGCTGAAATTGTTGTCAGAACACCTCATTAGCAAAGGCACGGTCGAGTCTTGCTTTCACATTGTCCTCTCCAGCTTGGTGGTTATCCCAAGTGTACGATGTACCTGACCAACCCAAGTCCTGGAAGGAAAGATCGTCCACAACCTCTCGAAAAGCTTGCATCTGTCGCTCAGGGCGAACAGCTCTGCTGAAATGTTCATTGGAGAACATAGTCTCATTAAAATCCCCCATGCACATCCATGCAGCATGTGGCACGTTATAAAGAGTACACAATAACCGCCAGCTATCACTTCTATCTTCAGCACACGGTGATCCGTAAAAACCTGTGAACCTCCAAGTTGGAGAACCAGGACTTTTATTACTAACCAAAACATCAATATGACATTGACCATAGCTTTTCAGTTCTACTGAAACATCACTAGACCAAAAAAGACCAATGCCGCCACTAAGGCCAACACTGTCCACAGCAAAACAACCTCCGAAACCTAACAAAAACTTCAAGTCCTCTACTCTTTTTGCTTTTATCTTCGTTTATGTAACAAAGAGCAGAGAGGGCCCTTCCAGCCTCACAATACTACGAAGCTCACGGACTGTCTCAGGGTTCCCAAGCCCCCGACGGTTCCAACTAATGCGACTCATTGGGACGGGCAGGACCGCACCGCGGTCTCTACCGAATTCTCTGGAGTAGGCTTCTTCTTCTTTGGCTCTCTAGCAAATGCATCGTTATCATCCTTAGTTTCTGAAGATTTAGCAGCGCTAGACTCATTCAAAGGCCCAGCAAAAGTCTCGGTACCTCCATCCGTAAGCAGCAGCGCAGTTTTTGCAACTGGTCTATAGACCTAATTTGGAGCATCTTTGCATTTTTGCTGCTGCCTATTCTTTACAGGCGAGTTCACCTCATCTCCCGTGTCTTTAGCAGTACTCGAATGCCTCATCTTATTACTTGCATTATGCTCCCTAGAAGAATTCTCAGAAGCCGTTGGCCTCCTGAACTCCTCCGGCGCTCTTGGCTTTGAACCAAATGACAGATCGCCATTCTCATCACGGGATCCTAGCGTTGGACAGTAGAGGTCAGAGTGACCCAACTTGCCACAGGAGAAACAGAAGTAGGGAACCTGCTCGTATTGAATATCATACATGTCCACCTTCTTTCTCCTGGCAGAATCAATGAGGACCCATCTTCTAAGCGACTTCTCAACATGAATTGTAATTCGTGCTCGCAGGAAACCACCATTATGATCAAAAGCTACCGAATGGGCATGCTTGTCCATCTGCTGTGCTATTGGCTTCCACCAAGATTCATCCCTCAGGTTATAGGGCAGATTGACAACTCTGGCCCAGATTTGCAAACGATCGAACTTAACCTCATATGGCCGCATGCACTCGTCAAACTCTGCTAACACCACAACGTTCTTGTTAATGTGCCAAGGCAATCCAGCCCAGACTCGATCTCTATCCCGTTGATTCTCAAAATCAGCCTCAAACATGTTAACTCCAACTGATCTGAACTTTAGTCCTCGTGGGTTTCCCCACGCCGGCCTGAGGGCATTGGTGATGGTCTGGATATGAAAGTGATTTCTGTGAAGAATCTTACCCGCCAAAAGCCACTTCACCAGACCTCCATCAACCCGATCGTCGATCACCAGGGGGGTCGCCTCTTCTTCAGATATGTCAAGTTTTCCCAATGCTTCCTCCAGCTTCCTCCTGGCCTCACGACCTCATTGTTCGTCATCTTCCCTCCCCCCTCCGGTCGAGGTGTTGGGGGCAGCCATTCGCCCGATCACGCGGGGGCGCTCGATCAGCACGGGCGATGAATCTCTGGCCGAATAATCCGGTTCCACGGTCAAAACCCTAGTCGCCCAGGCGCCGCCAGAGCGTTTTAGGGGTTTGGGGAAAAACTCAACGCGCTTTATTTCGTTATCCAGAGTTAGTTCGAGGGTTCGACTCCATCCTACGCTGGTATTTTTTTGTTTTTATTATGTTCGCTCGGCTCCTAGGAATGGGCCGTCCCGTTTGCGCGAAACCTTCAGCGAAACTCCATCCTAGGCTGGTATTTTTTTCGTTTTTATTACGTTCGCTCGGCTCCTAGGAATGGGCCGGCCCGTTTGCGCGAAACCTTCAGCGAAACCTCTTTGATTGACGCTAACGAGCGTCGAACATGAGCTCTCCTATTTAAGCTATTTTGGGGGTAAAATCCAACCCCCAAAATCATGACCCAACCAAAATTCATGGGAGGTTTGGGTTTTCGAGACTTCGAATTGTTAAATTTGGCTCTTCTTGCAAAACAGTCATGGCGCCTGCTCCAAAACCCACAGTCACTCTGCGCCAACATCTTCAAAGCTACCTATTATCCCAATCGTACTATACTTTATGCTGAGTTGGGAACAAAACCTTCGCAGGTGTGGCGCGCTATAATGGAGGGTAGAGATGTGCTCAACCAGGGTCTTATAAGGAGGATAGGGAATGGAAATACAACGCCCATATGGGAGCACAATTGGTTACCCAATGAGGTGATGATGAGGCCGATTGCATGTATAACAAATGACCCGCAAGTTTTGGTAAGTGAATTGATATATCATACCAGCGCCGCTTGGAGGGTCAACCTGTTACAACAAGTTTTTTTGGCGCTAGACATTAACACAATTCGGAGCATCCCCATGTGTACTAGGAATATGGATGATACCTGGGCATGGAATTATGGAAAGCATGGTAGATTCACTATCAGGTCGGCTTATCGCATGTTGGCAGATACTAAGAGGAGGAGGGAGGACTAGCTAGAAAATAATGCAGGAATATCAAACTATGTTGAGGAGGCAAGGGCGTGGACTTCGCTTTGGTCAGTTCAAGTTCCCGGAAAGGTCCGCAACTTTCTCTGGAGATTAGCAAGATGTTCTATTCCAACTGAGGATGTTCGGCACGATAGAAAGATGGCAGACGATGATAAATGCCAACTTTGCGGGGCACAAGATTCTTGGAGGCACTCCCTACTGTAGTTCTCAATGTCGAGGTGTGTGTGGGCTCTAGCTGACGGAGAGGTGCCCTAGTAATTACTGGGTACTGATAGATGCCCCGGTAATTACTGGCAGTACTATGCGTGGTGCCATGTTTATCTCCCTGGGGGAGAGAGATTTTATACGGTGGGCCTGGCAGCTGCCTGCTGGGCTATCTGGCTGGCTTGAAATCGAGCCACCTTTGAGAAGAAAATGATCAAAACTCCTTTTGAGATAGTCTTTTCCATGTGCTCTTTCTTACTTTATTGGACAGGTCTGCAGCAAGGAGATGATGCTAAGAAGTTACGCGCAGGCGCGGAGCAGATCAGGGCGGGGACCATGCAGATGATGAAGCTGTGCGAGGCGGCCAGGCAGCCGATCACCGGAGAGTGATTCTACTAGGAGCTACACGCTGAAGTTTGAAGCCTGCTGCTCTTCGTTGCTTCGATTAGTATGATAGTTTGGTCTGGTGGTGTCAATTTGGTCCCTGGCAGGTCGATTTGTGTAATAGCTAGTTTGACTTTAAAAGATATTGGTGCTGCTCAGGTTTTCGCCCCATGGCACTCGTCACGATGTCGGGCGAGTGTGGTGGGTTTTCTGGTAGTGCTTGAACTCGCTTTTCCCCTTTTCCTTTCCTTCTGAACATGTTTCTGGAACTGTTGTATTTCCGTTCGATGCAATGGAAAGGGGTTAAAAAGCCCGGTTCAAAAAAAAAAGGCTGACGGAGAGGTGGTCGATCACATCGAGACTACTAGAGAGCCAAATGCAAAGAGCCGAAGGGAGGCACTCGGTTATTGTGAAGGAGATTGTAACACGGGCAAAAGAGTTTGCTACATGTGATATCTCTTTTGAAGGACGAGCATCGAATTGGGAAGCCCATAGTCTTGCTAAATTTTCTAGTTCTTTATTTCTGTCGCCATGTGTGGCTGGGGACTCCCCATGATCCCCTCATTATTTCTGTAAACCTTGCAAGTATTGAATAAAGTGTTGGTTTACCGCTAAAAAAAATGCTATTTTGGGGGTAATATATAAAAAATGAATAAATAATAAAAAGGTAAACGGGCCGTGCCGTGCCAGCATCGTGCCCAACCTCGTGGCCCATGAACGGCCCTTGGCGTGCCACGTGCTGGCACGGCCCGATTACCAAGCTACCGCAGGCCATGCGCATCGGGCCAGCACGCCAGGACCGGTCCATTTGGCCAACAAAGGATCGATGACACTGATGGGTTCGGCCGAGCGGGAGAAATCAGGACGGTTGGCCACCATCCAACGGCAGGAAATCCGGCTCGTGCTTTCTTTCACCCGGGTGCTGGACGTTACTGCTCCAGGGCTTCAGGGTTCAGGCGAGGTGCGACCCGGGACGACGTCCGCCTCCCCCCTTCATCTCCGCCGCCGGCCAGATCTCGTGCCGCCCCTTCTCCTCTGCCCCCCACGGCGAGGTATTCCCCTCCTCCCCTTCCTTTGTTCCCCCGTTCGCCAGTCCGGACCCCCCGCAGGTCTCAGCCTTCTCTGGCAGGCGGCGCGGTAAACCCCAGACGGAGATTTCCCCGTGGGCACCCTGTGGGGTATAGTTTCTTCGCCGCAATCTATCCCGTACAAAACTTAATTCCTCTATCCATCCAGTTTGTTGTGGATTTGTTTACTGCCCGGACGCCTGGTGGAGCACTTACTAGTACTGAAAAGATTTTGGGGCTCAACTGAACTCTGCAGGGTTTATCCTGTGCTTGTTCGTTCATGTATTGCCTGAGGAATGGAGTCTTCGCTCAACTTTGATCCCAGCGTGTGCATTTTCTGTGCAGAGGACTGGTCACAGGATGCAGTCTTTGGCGCGGACAGTCTGTCGAGCCGGAACCCGTGCCACGCCTCTGAAGCTCCTGGATTGCGCAGCTCCTAGAGTTGAACAGTCGTTCGCGGAACCCCTGAGGCCTTGCAACTGGATTCGTCAAATTGTGGTGCGTGTGCCAGTGTTTGTATTGCGGATACAAGTCGCGGGTTTGTGATCCTGTGTTACTAATATGTCCTGGTCATGCCTATCGGATTGTATTTTGATCTGCAGAGTCCAATCATTCCACACGACGGTGTTCAGGCATATGGTTTCTGCACGAGGGCTTTGGCGGTGAGGGGGTTCTCGACAGTGGGAGCTGCCGAGGTTTCTGTTGAGGATGAAGATTCCAGCTCTCCCATGGTTGAGCACCCGCCGCGGATTAAGTTCAAGAGGCCCGACAAGACGGCCAGGCACATTATGAATGTAAGTTAATGTGTTATTTCCAGCAACGGTATAACTTCTGGTGACAAGTTACGTTACGATGATCACTTAAACAACCTAACATATCTGTTACTTGAGTTTGCCAGATCTTAAACAAAGAGGCAGTCGACAAAGTTCGTACAGAGAGGACCATTCCTGATGTACAGCCTGGATGTATTGTTCAAATGAGAGTGGTAAGTACTAAGTAAATGCGTTCTTGCCTTGTTGCTGTTCATTCATATATCTGTTGTTCTGATTCTATGTATAAACAGCAAGTTCCTGAGAACAAGCGACGTGAGTCTACATTGAAAGGCATCGTCATAGCAAGGCGCAATGCTGGGATCGCTACGACTTTCAGATTGCGTAGATTAGTAGCTGGGGTTGGAGTTGAGTCTGTCTTTCCACTGTAAGTGACACCAAATTTGTGCTTCTCTCTGATAGACATTGCTTCGTTTCTGAGCTTTCCACGTGCAAATTAGAACTACTTCTTAGTTCTGCACTATTGTGTTTCTGTGAGAATAGCTTGTGCATTCACATCTGGTTGCTCTCTGTTCGTTAGCATGACAGAACAATCCATATTTGTTGGTTGTGCATGAACATTTTAATCTGTGTGATTATAAGGAAGACACCCACACATCACTAATTCACTACGCATGCACACCTCCATGTGAGCATATCTTCTAATCACATGCAAAAACGATAAAGACCGGGGATAAATCTGTGGATCTCACTAAATTCCTACTTATCATGTTGCTGCATACATCTTATTAGACATATATAAAATTATGGATGCACAGTTGCCATATTAGAAGTGTAGTTTGCTCGGCTGAACTGAAAATTAGTATTTCATTTTGATTTTATATGTTTGTCTCTAAGCTATTTGTTGCCTTCTTGATATACCTGACATTATCTCATCTGCCATGAGAATGATGGCACCACCTTCATTCTTGTTACTAATAGCTGTAAATCCATGACAATGAGTACTATTGTCTAAACCATAGAATGCTATGTATCTGGTTAATGAGCCCTTAAGTGAACCATGCAAGATGCTGGTAGTATTCGAGACAAAACACATAGTTTTTCGTTACCATTGTACAGAATTGATTGCTTGTGCTGTGTTAGCATTTTGTTACAAATGGAGCTTGTAGTTTCATACATTTGTGCATCCAGCTATGGTTAAACTACCTTTCATGCGTACATAGCCTTTGTCCATTCCGTGTCTGCTGCTGGAATACATTGGAAGAATGGCATAAGTAGGATATTTCCTATGCGCTCTCCTTTTGTTTTTAGGATTTGTTCACTTTTGTTCCGCAGTTAATTTCTTCAATCTTTCATTACATAAAAAGCTGCCTTTAGTTGTTGAAGAAGTCAAACATGAAAGATACCATCGCATCATACTTGTTTCACGCGGAATATTTTCCTGATGCCATTTCTCTTTTGCATTCAGGTACTCGCCAAACATCAAAGAAATCAAGATCTTAGACAGGAAGAAAGTCAGGAGAGCAAAGCTGTATTACCTGAGGGACAGAATGAATGCACTCAAGAAATGAGGCAGCATCGGCTTGGTTGTTGCCATTTTGTTTCTGATGTGGATCTGCATGGCTTTCCTAGTGGCTGCAATTCGAGAAGCCCGATGCTTACTCCCAGCTCCTAGAACTACTGTTTCGGGTCACCATGCCTGGTTTCTGGGGCAAGCGCCAGCAGAAATACGCTTATGTGATTTGAAATTAACAATGTGGATCTGTCTCCTTTTATGTTTTTAGCAACTAGTGTAATGAGAAAGAAATAAAAATGCTCTCCTTTTCTCTAACTTATTGCTTAAGTTGGAGAAGCTTGCACAAATTTTGTTCTACCGTTGGACCATTCCTTGCTGCTATCAAGATGGTTGTGTTGCACACAACTCAAAGTAGCCTTTTATCATGAAATTTTCATGTATAACTTTGATGGACTGTTTGTAATGCAAGAAATTGGAAGGCTAGTGTTCCTGTGCTTTAGAAATGGCATCTTCAGATATTCTTCTTTGATCAGTACTCCGTCCGTTCACATATATAAGATGTTTTGGCCATTCACAAATATAAGATGTTTTGGATATTTCAGTATGAACTACAAACGGACTGAAATGAGTGAACGAACACAGTAAAACACTTCTATATACGTCCAATCCAAAAAAAAGTTAGATCATCACATCGACTTTTATTCATTTTGATGACAAATATTTTCGGACGGACATCCACTTTTACCTTTGCAGATACTAACTGGGAGGTGCGAAAATCACCAGAGTTAATGAAAGAAATTATCGAGATTAAGTCTTGGAGTGTAAGTTGGAAGTTGACTCGTGCAGTAGTCGAAGGTTGAATTACTTGAGTGCAAATGTGCAATGTTTTTAACTCCAGCCCATTGAAAAAAAATAACGGAAATATTGAAAATCTGAAGAAAGTCTGTAATAACATCTGGAGAAAAACTCGTGCAGTAGTCGAATGTTGTTTTCCTTCTTTGAGTTTCGCGTTCACATCCCAGCTTTCCAGCAACTCGCTTGCTTCCTCTGGGCCGGCCGCCTCCGCCCTACTCCTCCGCCGGCGCCGGCGCCGCCGACCGCAGCCTCCTCCCGCCGGCCGCCGCCTATTTCCCGGACGGGAAGGAAGCCTTCCCCGTAGGCGTCCGCCCGCCCGTCCTCCTCCCCCCATCCGCCTCCACTCTGCTGGACTGGCGTGGAGCAAGCGAGGTCCCTCCCCTCTTCCTTCGCTGGTAAGTAGTATAAGCCCTAGCGCTTGCTTGGGTTGCTGACTTGCTGTTCGTTTCGCTCTGGACCTCTGGCCTGCTTGTTGCTGTGAACCATAGACCCCGACCAGATCGATCTCAGTTGGCCCCATTTTTCCATCCCCGCTCGCGAATTTCTCCATTTCGGTGCCTGTTACCCTGAATAGCATCGCCGGTGCCAGCATTCCTTTGGAGAAGAAAAAGTGGAGGGGTTTAGCTTGAATCGTTCGGCAGCAGGGGAGCCCGAGTGTGTGATGTGGGTAATTACTAATTAGTACTCCCTCCGTCCAAAATTCTTGCCTTAGATTTGTCTAAATACGGATGTATCAAGTCACGTTTTAGTATTAGATACATCCGTATCTAGACTAATCTAAGACAAGAATTTTGGGACGGAGGGAGTAGAATTATGTTGAAATTCGTTCAGTTCAGTTGAGGATTCATGTTATTGTGGTGAAATTCAGGTGTCAAATCTCTGCCACACTCACGAATGTTTTGTGTCAAATGATCTCTGTAGCATATGTTGTTCTGAAATTATGGAGGTTGAGATGCAGTTTTATCCTTTTCGGCTCATTCTTTTTGTATTCTTGATTATTGCAGCCCTTCGCCGTGCCGAGGAAATCTGGAACTGTAAGTTGAGCTTTGGTACTCTTGGATGGAGTTCTCATCAAGTGAAGACCATGATCTTGTTGAAGATTTCATGGATGTTGAGGATGATACAGGCACCACTGATGTTGATCAAGGAACTAGTGTGATGTCTTCCCAGATTCATTGCATTGATCCTTCTGAGGGATCCATGTCGACTGCTGTAAATGAGCTGCTTCCGGCAGCTGACGAGCTGGGCAAAAATGCGGAACCGTACTTGGGCATGGAATTTACGTCTGATGCAGCTGCACGTGCATTCTACAATGCGTATGCACTAGGCCTTGGGTTCGGCATTCGTGTTGCCCGGTCCCGCAGTGAACGGCGAAAAGGTACCGAGGTACTTGTTATGAAGCGTTTTGTGTGCATGAAAGAGGGACATCACAAGAAGAAGAAGGATGTTGACTCTAGCAACAAGAAAAAGAGGAAGCGCCTCTCTATACGGGAAGGCTGCCCAGCAATGATGGAGGTGGTGAGGAGGGGCCCAGAAAAGTGGGTCATCACGAAGTTGGTGCTCGAGCACACTCATGTCATTGTTAGCCCAGACAAGGTGCGGGAGGTCCAGCTCCTTCGCCTCTCTGGGAAGGAGCATGCGGACCAATTGCAGGAGGCGCGGAGGAATGTGTTTGGAGACACAGGTGCATCTGGTCTCTTCACCTACCTGATGAGAAGGCAGTCGGAGAACTCTGGTTTTTTCTATAACGTACAAGTTGACGGTAGAAACTGTTTGAGGAATGCAGTTTGGGTTGATGCAAGATCTAAAATGTCATACAAGTACTTCGGAGATGCTGTTTACTTCGACACTACTTATACTCAAAACGAAAATATGTTGCCTTTTGCTGCTTTCACAGGCATGAATCACCATGGTGATTGTGTTGTTTTTGGTTGTGCGCTTATCTTGGATAAGACAGAATCTTCATATGCTTGGATTTTTGAGACATGGCTGGCAGCAATGGATAAGCGGCTGCCATTTTCATTTACAACAGATGAAGGCAAAACAATGACAGAGGCAGTTGCCAAAGTATTTCCTCAATGTTTCCATCGTCTTTGTAGATGGCGAGTTCTTTCTAAATGCAAGAAGAAATTATCTGATGTCTACATGAGATTTCCTGAGCTCCATAACGAGTTAAAAAGATGTGTCAATGAGTGTGATACCGTGCCTGTTTTTGACATGTTCTGGGGTTCTATTCTCGACAAGTATGGTCTGAGGGAGAACACTTGGTTGCAATCACTGTTTGAAGCAAGACATAAATGGGTTCCTGCGTACCTAACAAGCTCCTTCTTTGCAGAATTGTCACTGACCCGTAGAGCAGAAACGATCAGTGGGTTTTATAGGAATAACTTCAGTACAAGAGCTCCCCTCCTTTCTTTTATCACTACATTTGATCAACACATAGACAGATTGTATATGAATGAAGCTCAGAAAGATCTTGCCTTGTTTCCTCCTGAACAACTCCTGAAAACCAATTCAATCTTGGAAAAACAAGCAGCGAGCATCTACACCAGGGCTGCATTTGAATTTTTCCAAACGGAGTTGATTGAATCACTGCATCACTATGCTGTGAAGGTTGAGGAAAGCCCTTATGAAGCCAAGTACTATGTTGAAAGAGACGGTGATCCTCCTACCAGGCACACTGTTGTCTACAATGTTGCCGAGAAGAAGGCTTGGTGTGACTGCTGCAGGTTTGCTTTCTCGGCGATATTGTGCAGGCATGTGCTGGGAGTATTCATCTTGGCTGACATCGACATGATTCCGGAGCCATGCATCACGAAGCGATGGACAAAAAAGGCAAAGACAGGGCCAGTGTTTGTTGGACGCATCCTTGAAGATGAAAACCGGCACACAGATTCTGTGACTTCGAGGTTCAGTGATCTCGTTCGCGACGCCATGAGGTGTGGAGAGAAGGGAGCTCTATCAGAAGGCTCCTTCAAATTTGCAAAGGAAGTACTGCGCAAAGCCTATAGAGAAATAGATAAACTGACCAAGGCTGGTCCCCAGCAAGTTGGCAACAGATAACATCAGTGGCCTTGAACATTGCTACCAAGGATGAAAACATGGTCTATTTCTGCTGTGCTACCATGAGCAAGAGCTTGCGCTTGCCGCCGTACCATGTCAATGACCAATGGCACTTTACCTTGTAAGTTGATGCTGTAAATCCAATCCTATTGACCTAGTGTTGGCCAAGTGATGAGTGCTGGCTGCTGCTGCTGCTGCTGCTTGCGATGTCACAACACAAACACTGGTATAGTGCAATCACCATTGTAGGAAACATTTACAATTTTATTTCGTGTGTCAAAATATCTAGCAAACCTTAATTTTTCTTGTGAATTTTAAAAAATTGAGCAACGTTTACAGGAACTAGGGTCCTATATGAACCTTTTGCGAGCCTGACCAAGCCAAGCCACGAGCCGGCTTGGCTTGGCTCGGCTCAATTCCACCCCTAGTTTGGACCATTTACTATAAAGATGACATGTGTGATGTTGTGGTCTTGATTGAAGGGGTGAGGGCCATCAATTATAACCAACCATAGATGATAAACAGGTTCTTGGTATTACGGGCATTAAGGTTCCATAAATGATGTTGGATGCAGGTTTTGTGCTCATGCATCATCTAAACTAACTGAAGAGGGGCATATCATTCAAAAAGTGAGAAGAATCTGACATAAAAGATAAATGGTTGGAAGATGTGAGCCAACGTGAAAGACTAGGTAACTTGAAATGCATGCTCTAACTATGACCCACTCCCAGCAACCAGAGAGGTGAGGAACCCCTGGGCCGTAACACCACCACCTAGCAATGCAGTATTCTCCCGGTTGGCTTCTATTCAGGGATCACTTGAACTCCATGGGATCACCATCAGAACCAGGGAAAACTTTGTTGACACAGTGGCTAGGAACTGGCCGGTTGGAGCCAGAAGACGTGGACGATAGCGATGTGAGAAACAGATTGCTTCCCTAGAGAAGAAGGTGATGAAGAGGGCTGGACAACTAACCCAGATCCGGCCTGACAAATCCGGGGAGACCTTACCTTACCAGCTCCCCGACGAAGCCAAAGTTGACTATATACACTTCGTCGGTTGTAGGAGGAGCCCAAGGACCAAAACACCAGTTCACTCCGCTAGACGACGCCTTCGAAGACCACCTGCCAAACACAA